GACACATGGTGCACGAGCCGGAGGCGAGTGCACTATGTGTCAAACCCTGCCTACTATTTAGGCATAGTACATGCATAATGCAACACTATTGTTATTATTATGCTGACTGTTGTTATTATTTATGCGGCAATCCATTTGATTTTTTCCTGAAAATAATGGTGGTAACACAGCGCACTTGCAAAAACTCATTCAAAATCTTCATGCTAAAATTAGTTGCATGCTTAGTTATTTTGGTTACTAGTATTTTCTCTAAATAAGTCAGAATTTTCTGTCCCAAAGATACTCATCTTTATTTTCTGTTTTGTTAGTAAGACTGATTTGTTTACAGACGTGGATTCACATTGATAATTTTCTTTTACATCCTTCAATCAAGCGCTATATGAAAAAGCGTTTTAATGACCCCATGATATCAATTCATCTAACGATCTGTATGTAATTAGTTTGAAACTTTGTTGTACACATTTATCTAAGATTCCTTAGAATAAATATAACTGTTTTCAAATAATATTTGTCTATTTTCTCCTTCTTGTGTCAATTGTTTTAATTAAGTTTATATATTTAATAAAATTCTTCCAATCAGTGATCGTCTCTGTGGCGTAATCGATAAGGCATCGGACTGGCAACCTTATGGTGGCGAGTTCGATTCCCGGTGTGTGCATTGAAGAATTTTATTCAGAAAATAAGGCCGTGCACTATTTCGGCATAGTATGCTTACGCTATATAAATCCTTAGACCACTATGCGAGAATAGTAGGGTATGGGTTATATAGAGACAAACTGACAGGAAGCATAATAATGTGTCATAGACAGTCTCTATGTTTTTATCGTTAATTTTTTTTTAGATGTTTTTTTTTATTCTTGATTCTCATTTGTATTGCTGTCCTCTGCACTCTGTCATAGTTAAATGTTATCAAACATAGATCTATGTTTGACATAATCAAAAAGTATTATGTAAAAAAAATATAGAAAAACATAGAAAACAGTGAACAGAGATTCCTTTTTCTGCAAAAACTTTGGCCATATAACGTTTGAAGGTTTCACATTGCATGTGTTTTACATTAAGAAAATTTTGCCTCTACCTTGCTACCTACCAAAGCGCTTCAAAGATGAACTCTAGAAGATATGGCTTTAATTTGTTATTTACAGATAGAAAATGCGTCAGCATTCAAGGAAGGAAAACATGGGAAGGCACGGGAAACGAACAAAGGAAAAGGAAAAATGTGTTCAACATTGTTATAACCAGGGAAGCTGGGTACATCTTAAATAGCTCATTCCGTAAAATAATTAATTAAAAATGAAGGAAAAAGCAGTTCTGCTTTCCCCATTTCCAAAGACGCTTTCCCGCGTCCGACTGTGTTTAAAAAAATTTGGTCGGTTTTTAACTTTCCCACACCCTTAATTAGCCTAAATTAGAACTGCAATTATAACTTATTTCTATTGTCCCACAGTTACACAAAAGAACCTTTAATCGAAGGTATTTCTTAATTTTTAAAGGAAAATAGATGCTATTGATTTTCTTAATAGTATGAAAAATTGATTTGGTCATATTTTTGGGGTGTGTGGGGGAGGGGGGCAAAAAACCTTTATTATATTCTAATATTTTTTTTGTATTTCTTTTTCAAGGAGTTCCCTACAGAAGGATCCTGACGTTCATAAAATTGTCTCCTCATTTGACGAAGCAGTACAGTTCAGTCTCAGTCCGGAAAACCGGAAACAGTTCGAGGCAGTCTGGGTAATGGGCGGACAAAATGTATTCCAGGTTTACCATCTACCTTCATTTTATTTGTTCAAATTTTTATCCCCTCCCCTCTCCCTCTGTGTGTGTATGTGTGAGGGAGGGAGGGGGTGGGTGGGTGTGTGTGTGTACATTGTCATGTAAATTTTGAATTTACCGGGTGGCAATAAATACCAAAAAATTACAACATGACTACTTACATCCACCCAGTATATTCAAAATTTACAACATGACAATACATGTACTCATGTATTATTTCTCAATCTTTATGATTTAGAAGAGTGTCGATTTATCTGACGACTCATGGAGTTCTTCACATGTGTAACTTAATACGATGAAAAAAAAAATGTTCAATTGATACTTTTAATATTATTCAAACAGAACTATCCATTTCTCTTTTAGGAGGCTATGCAAAGTCCTTTCTGTAAGAGAATATATTTAACAGAAATACTGGAGGAGTGTCCCGCCGATACATTCTTTTTGATGAAGAAATATATAAAGAGATCAGGTAAATACATAAAACGAGGTTTTTTTTAAGGAATCGAAGAATTTGGCTAAAAATGACAGATTTAAAATACTAGTATATATTAATGTGCATGGATTAAAGAATATTTAGAATCAATGAAAACATTTTTTGTATGTTTTTGTACATAAGTTTTCAAAAATTATCAGGACTTTCTACTCTATAATACGTAACTTAAATGTTTTGATACATGCACCTTCAATAGCTTTAATGTCATGTTTTCTTTTTTACAAATGTCCCTTTCGACAAAATGAGGACACAATTATCTTTTGTAAATATTCAGACTTATATCCTGTATCTTTCTTTGTCGTAGACAACGAAAAAGAGTTTTATAAAAATGTAAGGTGTATTCTTTTTTTCAGTTTATCAGAGGTGCTTGAGGAAAACGGTGTTAAATACCAATTTAAAATCTACGAAAGAATAAAGGAATAACATACATGCTTCAATTGAGTTGTGTAATTATTTGAAAAGAAATGCCTCGATGATTTCCGAGTATAAAAAAAATGATAAAGATAAAGATATTTAAGATCAAATTTAATTGTTATACGCAGTGAATGCAAAGAAGTACAAATAGAAATCATATAAAACAAGAGGCCCATGGGCCACATCGCTCAACTGAGCAAAAAAGCATAAATCAGTTTATTATTGAAAAGTTGAAACCCAACAGTGGTCCCAAACAATCCTTAAAAGAGAGAGGGTATTATTTGATTAAACTTGAACTAGAATGCTTGCATATTTCTTCGACTACCTGTGGCTTTATTTCCCTTTACATTTGAACTTATATTGTAGCCCCGCCGAACTCCCAGGGGTCATGACTTGAACAAAATTGAATCTACACTTTCTGAGAATGCTTCCATATGAATAGGACTAATCATGGCTTTGCTATTTTTGAAAAGAAGATTTTTAAAGATTTTTTCTACATGTTTCTATGTAAAACTTGAATTCCATGTTGTGACCCCGCCCTAAGCTACCCCCAGGGGTCATGATTTGAACAAACTTGAATCTACACTACCTGAGGATGCTTCCATTAAAAATGATCATTCATGCCTTTGCGTTTCCAGAGAAGAAGATTTTAAAAGAATTTTCCTATGTATTTCTATGTGAAACTTTGAACGGCCTTTGTGGCCCCGCCCTACCCCCGGGGGTCATGATTTGAACAAAATTGAATCTCCACTACTTGAAGATGCTGCCATAAAAATAGGATCATTTATGCCTTTGCTATTCCAGACAAGAGGATTTTTAAAGAATTTTCCTATATATTTCTATTGAAAACTTTGATTGGCCATTGTGGCCCCGCCCTACCCCCTGGGGTTATGATTTGAACAAACTTAAATCTCCACTACCTGAAGATGCTTCCATAAAAATAGGATCATTCATGCCAAGCTGCCTTGGTGTTAATTACCTTGCATCAACTTTGACATTTTTATCTACTCGAATCATGAAAATAACGTAATTTCTCTTCTTATTAAGTTTCATTTAAGTAAATTAAACAAATATCAAAAATGACCTTCATGGTAAATAACTCATTTTGTTTTAAATATATATAATTTACGTGACTGTAAATTTACATTCAATTTGCATAACCAATCCTCTATGAAATAACGAAGCGCTCATTCAAACATATCCAAGTCGTTCAAGAATTTGAGGACGATAGTTCATCTGCTATGTGGAATACACGGGTTTTCTATTTATTTCTCTTTGTTTGGAGAAAATCATGTAGCTTTGAAAGCAAATCTATAAATAGTGATTACGCAACGGACAATATTGTAAAGAAACTCGGCGAAATAATGGAGCAATTCAAGACTTTGGAAACAAGGAACGGAGTCTTGGAGGGTGAAAATAAAATTCTAAATGAGAAATTAAAGGGATGTTTAGAGAGTTCGGAAATTCACAAAAATCTTTCCGTGGGAGAAATAAGTAATCAGGAAAATGAAAATGCAAAAGTGAAAGTAAACGTGAATACATTTCTATCTGAGATGAACCCCGATGACTTTAACAGCCGCTTACGTGAGGTTGAAAACAAAATAAACAGCGTTGCCATAACCGTGGATAAAATCAGAGAGGACCAGCTCACCACTGCAAAACAACTTTTGAAAATTACATGTGACATTTTTACGGGTAATTATTTACATGAGTAATGCTAATAATGATAAATTAAAATATACAAGGGGAAATTTGTTGAAATTAGCTAAAGTTTACTTACCACTATTACGATTAATATTAAATTATCGAATTTCCCTATATACATTTATATTATTATTACCATGATTACAGTGTATACTCTAAACATAATTTCTTGAAAAAAGAACACAATATGTTTTTTCTAATGCATAGCAACATTGAATCCATTTGATTGCTTGGAACTATACAACAAAGGGTGTGTTACCGGTGTCTATTCCATTTATCCCTGGAGTGTCAGTGACCGGTCACTCAGAGTTCTCTGTGATATGGACACAGCTGGTGGGGGTTGGACGGTATGTATGTTTTTAAATTGTTAATGTTGATATGTTTTTGACATGATACGTTTTTAGTCAGTGTGTTAAAATGATTTGTCATGGTGTATGTTTTGGTATGCTGTTATATTTGTAACAGAATCTTGATGTTTTTACGGGATCTTAATGATTGTTTTTGACATGATCTATATGCTTTTTTGTCAGGATATTTATCTAAAGATTTGGCAAAAACCACTTTATACGTTCGGCTTCCTTCAATTATTAATTTTGACTATAAATTGTAGGTTATCCAAAAGCGAAATGATGGTTCCGTTTCTTTTGCTAGAAATTGGACAGAATATCAGAAAGGATTTGGTCATGCCGAAACTGAGTACTGGCTAGGTAAGATGATTACTCCTCTATGGCACCTGATCCCACCTCTGCATGTTGTTTTTAGAGGTCTGTGTTTGCTCTTCTCATGATATTTACTTTTTGAATGGACTTTGGAGCTTAACTACTGTTCGTTTTCTCCTTCTTTTATACCTAAAATCAAAATGCAAGATTTTTTTTTTGAGTTTTACATGTTTTACGCAAAAATATTTTTTTTTATTAAACCATTGATTTTTGCATGTTTACAAAGAATATTTCTGCAAATTCAATATTCAAACTGCTTGGGTGAATTTTTGAATAACAAAACAGCAAATAAAAGATGTAACAAATAAAAACAAACTTGGTTTATATATAACTGTCAGAATTTACTTGACCCCTTATCTTATTTCTCTTTCTGGACAATATTTATATATTACAAGATATTTTAATTCTTCAAAGGAAATGAGGCTATACACGCACTAACCCTGAACACATCTTCTCTGTATGTAAAACTCCAGAAGAAAAATGGCGAAGAGTTTTATCAGAGTTACCCAGATTTTTCTATTTCGGACGCGAGAGATGATTATCAATTGCGCATTGGACCCCATTCTAAAATGTCTGCAGGTAAAATAATACACCATGAACAAGGTGCTCATCGACGACATGTGATATTTTAATTTGATTTTGCTAAAATCAATAGAAAAGTCTTTCTGAGTTTAATTTGTGTTCATGTCTGTAAATTTGATAATAACTAAATGTTAACCTTTTGCAACGTACTTTATTTAAGTTTCTGATGTCACGGAGTGCAATGGATTGACATCATTTCTCTGTAAAAATGACAGATGTATCAGTGATCAAAAAGAGTGTAATGGTGTAGACGACTGTGGAGATGGATCTGATGAGGAGGAGTGTGGTAAGCAAATTAATCAAAGTACTAAAAGGACCGGTACAGGGTGGCATGGGCGGGATAAGGTGTGATATTGTAGACGACTGTGCAGATGGATCTGATGAGGAGTAGTGTGGTAGGAAAAAATAATCAAAGTAATGAAAGGACTGGTATAGGGTGGCATGGGCGGTGTAAAATGTGATAGTGTAGACGACTGTGCAGATGGATCTGATTAGGAGGAGTGTGGTAAGCAAGATAATCAAAGTACTAAAAGGATTGGAATAGGATGACATGGCGTTTTTTTTTCAAAAGAATTGTTGAATTAAACTAGAGCAAAGCTCGTTGCAAAGCAACGAGTAGGTTTTGTTTTGACCAGAAGTGACGTCAACAAAAGAAAGCAATGAGTTAAGTCGTCTCCAGTCACTTTATAATTTCAAGTTTGCATCAAAACTTTCAAAAATAAACTATTTTTGGCTACTTCCGGTATGACCGGCAGTGATGTCGATGGACGGAAAATTAAGTTTTATGCTTCCAGTGACATATTTTACCCAAAAACTTGTCAAGAACGGCAAAAATATGCATTTTCTTACGACTTCCGGTTTGACCGGAAGTGACGTCGCCGGACGCATTTTGACAACTTCAATAGATTAAGCTTGACATTTTGAACAACTTTGCTTCTTGGGTGTATTACAAATTCTCAATACTTTTTGAGGTATCTGGAAAAAACTTTTGGCCCCTCTAGATCCCTTAATTTAGGAGTCAGCCCTTTTTTTGAGATATCATTTGAAAGATCTTGTAATTCTGCACAAATTTTATTCTATATGTTTTAACAAAATATTTTTAGTTTAGAAGATAAAAAGCAAAATACGTGTAAATTTTCGCTCTTTTAGGCGTTCTAATTTTTGACCCCTATATATCACCATTTTGAATAGAAAAATCGAAAAACAAAAACCGCCATGCACAACTTCAATCCTTGTATTATCTAAAATCAGTAAAATTTCTGCTCCAGCTTTAGCCGTCTCTGAGCCTTTGTCTGGAAACGAAAGCCTATAAATTTTCGTTTAAAGGGAAATAACTCAAAACCGGAAGTGACTTTTTGAAATTTTAAATAGCATCATCAGAATCAGTAGAAGGTCTTCCGTTGGAAACGGAAGACCTTAATTAACCAATCTTTACTCTAGAAAATTGTTTTTATGTTAATTGAGTCCTTGATTTTAGCTTATAACGAACTCCCTCGCAAATATGCTAAATTCGTGTAAAATTAACTCTGAAGTATGATCTAGGGTAATACACATAAATGGTTTAAGTTTAATTGGACAAAATCGCAATATACACTTGAACACTGATAATGCGAATCTAGATAACAATATACAAAGATCCGTTTAGGATAGTTTGCGAAGGTTATTTGCAAGTTTATTCACCCTTGTTCGTTTCTAGATGAGGAAGAATTGTTGGTCTTTGCATACAGAACGTCTCTAAACGTGATGTCACTATCCAACCTTACTTCCCATGTTGTCCCATTACAAGGCGTTAAAAATGCCATTGCTGTTGACTTTGATCCTGTAGAAAAACAGATATATTGGTCAGACGTTACACTAAATACAATCAACAAAGCCTTTCTGGATGGTTCGGGTAATTATTGAATACATGCTTCAATCCATAAGTGTTATATTAGTATAAATCGATGCATCGTAGTAATCGTATGATATTTTGGAGGAGGAAATTGGCTAGGCCACGGCATTATTGAGACCCAATGGCCATAAGCCTGTTTGAAGAGTTAAGTTGAAGTATTTATAACATTTCACATTTTTTCGGTTTGTGATTATTTTTGTCTTTCATTTAAACTAACACTTATAGTGAGCATGTATTTTAGGACAACAAATTGTGATCAATGGGGTCCCTCAAGCAAGTGGAATAGCGTTAGACACGGTAAATCGTAGGCTGTATTGGACAGATGCTGATAAAGGCACGGTTGAAATGTCAGATTTAGATGGTGGACAGAGGACGACGATCGTCACGGATGGCTTAACGATGCCAAGAGACATAGCAGTAGACTCGAAGAACAAGTAGAATTTTATTTAATTATACCCCCGCTTGAAAAGAGGGCGGGTATATAGTAATCGGTATGTCCGTCCGTCCGTCTGTTACGCTTTGGGGTACCTAGTATCTCTTATCCGCAACTCCTCTCATATCACTGAATGAAATTTGATGAATCTTTCACAGAATCTTTATTACATAATGCCATTGTGTACATGTACCTCCTATTTTACTTTTTGACCCGACACATAGTTTGGGTTTCCCACAGCAAAACATGGACACTGCCATTATTTTCATATGGGAGGCGGGGTATCATTTAGTGAGCTCATTTGTAATGCTAAGTTACGGTGTATAAGGCATACGGGAACCCGTTTTTAGTCTAATACAAAGTTTATAAAGTTGTTTGAAAAATAATTCTGATGTATTCATTTAAGGTAGAACCTATGTCGGAAAAGTCTTTGTCACTAGATTTTCAAATTTTTCAAAATGATAAATTAGTACCGGTACTTGCTTCTTAATCAGCAAAAAGCTCACGATATGTTTCCTTTTTTAAATCTAGTACAGCCTGTGAAACTTGGTATGGTAATTATATACTGCGACTACACATTTTCAGTTATTTTTGGGGGACACTTGTCAAGAAGAGAATATGAAAAATCACAAAAATACCTCTTCCAAGATCATCGTTTTTTGACTGCACAATATTAAGCAATATTAATATTTCTCAAGAATAATTTCTTTTTTTATTCAATTGACATAAAAGATACGTCAACATTTTACAAAAAAAGTAGGCAAATGAACTTTGTCACAATGTTTTCAATCTTTAATATGATGAATAACATACCCAAATGATTACAAAAAGGGATTAAAATATATACCTTTCACTTCTAACTAATGAGAGATAGGTTATTTACCGATGCTTATATTCTTGACCTTTTTGCACTTACACGGAATTTAATTATTAATGTCTGATTGGGTTTACTTTCAGATTAAAAATGTTTATCAAAAATTGTACTTTTTGTTTAAAAAGATCATATTTAATAGAAAAATTGTAATCATACACCAAGAATATGAATAAGTAACAAATAATCATAAAAAGGAATGCACATCAATTCATGATAGATATCAAAAAATGTACACACGGTCGCACGATCTACAACACGTACATCATTGACTTAGACTCATTTCATCAGGATATCACGTACAGTATTTAGTTGGCAACTGAAGATTTATTGGGATTTTTGCATTCCTTTAAAATGGTTACATACCATTTACATTATTACAGTAAGTTGTATACATTGTAATTTCATTACACAAGATAGTCTTGGATTTGTCAACTTAATTAAGGACAAGGTCTAGTAAATGAAAGGTACAGGTTTTCTCTAATTTCAGAAATATATTGTCATTAAGCAATATGACTCAAAAATATATAAATTGAATTAAGGTTATTTCGGCATGATTTTGAATTAAGGTGAAGATCTAGTAAATGACTTTAGACTGATTTTGTGGTGCTAGATTCATTATGACGTCATAATCAATTTCAACTTTCTTTTTCCCGTACTTTACGGCTTTGCTGAATTATGTAGAAAAAAGGGTATTTTCATGGCATTCAACTTGAAATCATATGAAAAGTAATCCGGATACCTATATTAAATTTGACATTATTTTAAAGAAGAGACCATGAACATACAAATTACCATTTTCTGAGAGACTGTAGGCAATCTGGATACATTTCCTTTGTCGAATATGAAAAAAACTCCCATATTCATGATTGGTTTTCTTAATTTTTCATTGAAAATGACTGTGTAAGATATGTTTTTTCATCTTGTTTACCTACAAATTATGACCCGAAAGACCTTATTTGGCCAAGCTTAAGTTATAAAGCATCATTAAAGGAATTTATTTCTCAAATTTTATAAATCTGTAGGCATCTTTCATTTACTAGATCTTGACCTTAAATTCTGTGGATTTCAAAGTGCAGTATTTTCTGTAAAGTGCGGGGAAAAGTAACATTGAATTAATTCTGACGTCATAATGGATCTAGCACAGGCTAAACACATTCACTAGTTATGATGTCATACGACGTAGGTTCTACGTTAAATGGTGTTTAAAATATTAACTTCACAAATGTAGATTCTTTTTACGGGTACTTCCTTATTTATTTATTTTTCTATTACTATCATAATGATCGTGCGCGAGTGAAAAATATCATGCCTTTCTCTTAAAATAACGAAAAGGCCTAGACGCCAAAAGGCTGAAGAACAAATGATAGAATTTGTAATCACTTTTTAGGTCTATTTTAACAAAAGGATTCCAAAATACTAGGACAAAGTTTAAAATATAAATCCATTTAAATATCATTTTTATGAACGCATAATGCCTTTCTAAAACTTAATTTCATTATTACATTTTCTCTATGTATGTTGCTTCCAGTACAATTCCTTACATGGCAAGATTTTTTTAAGATCGGGAAAAAAATTAAATAAAAACATGCCTCAATTAATTAAAAAAGTCGTCTATTAATTTTATCAAGTTTATTTGAGAGATGAAATCATCGTAAATAAATAAACAATATTTCTGCTCATCATTTCTGTGACGTGTCATAGTTGTGTAATAGTATTCTGTATTTTATCGCTTTACCATCAGTTACTTACAGAATGAAACATATAATTATATTGAATTTAAATGATGTTATTCAACAGAAAGCTCTATTGGTCAGACGTTGGGGGTGATACCAAGATAGAAAAATCAAACCTGGATGGCACAGATAGAGTTGTTATTGTGAACACTTCTAATGGATGGCCAAACGGAATTGCACTTGATACAGATAATGGTATAATATACTGGGGTGATGCTAGATTCCATCGCATCGAGATGGCCAATTTGGATGGATCTAATAGAAGCATTTTGTTGAGCAGCGAAGTAAAACATCTTTTTGGACTTAGTCAGCTAGGTATTGTGTTTTTCTTAGTAGCATTTTCCTGAGCATTCATGTAAAAACAGGTTTTTGGACTTAGTCTTCTAGGTTATGTTTTCTTCAACATGTGTAGGTAATGTGACTTTCCTTTCAAGATATTCAAGTATTTTCTCAGTAAACGTACTTGTTACATGTACGTATACACTTACAAAAACACCTACTGCAATTTTCAACAATGCTTTCATTAAATTTCAAATGACCTACAGCTATTTTTCTTAAGTACATTCGTTCGAAAAGGTTTAAGTCGTACATTAGTTTCTGTTAATTGTGTGGTTAATTGCCATTACAAAGACACGAATCTGACATCTGAATTCTGCACTTCATTAATAATTTCTTTTGAAAGAGACTCTTACTCACAATGTCTCAAATTGTTCCAAATACAGCTAAATCAATTACATATACGGCTTTAATATAAATTTTGCACTTTACTTCCGATTTAAATTTAAAAGTGTAAGAAATGAAAATAAAACATGCATTCTGAATTTATCAAAACAATGGATATAAAGAACAGTATTGAAGATCAAAAGTCCATAAACAATATAAAATATATAGGAGCAGAGCAAACACGGACCTCCAAAACATCAGAGGTGGAATCAGGTGCCATGATATAAGATAATTGTATTACAGCTTATTTTCTATCCAATTTAAGAAAGTACCGTATATGCTGTTGTAAATTCTGACCAATTCAAGACTTAAATGGGGCATAATTGATCATAATAACCTCGATCATATGAGTCCTTAGCTGAGGAAATCTTATAGCCCTTTTCCTATGACATATTTTGCCTAGGAGTTGTTCCCCTCAGCCGCCATCTTGTAGGGCAAAGAAGTGAATTTCCTTCTTTGAGCAACCAATTTTAAATATTCATGCAAGGAATATATGTGGGAAAATATATACATTTTTAGGTCACCTGAGTAAACTCAGGTGACCTATTGCTATCCGTTGTTGTCCGTCGTCGTCCGTCGTGCGTTAACATTTGAACATTTTCAGCTTCTTCTCTGCAACCACTCGACCAATTTCAACCAAATTTAATACAAAGCATCTATGGGTGAAGGAGAACAAAATTTTTGAATGTCATGATCCCTGCCCCCCTGGGGCCTGAGGGGTGGGGTCAAAACCACTAAATTAATGCAATCTTTAAAAATCTTTTTCTTTACTCCTGGACATCAAGTAGTCAAACTGTTTGCATGATTGTATTCAGCATTAAGTCCTCTACCAAAATTGTGAAATTCATGGCCCTGGGGTCAGGGGTTCTAGTGCTAGGGCGGGGCTAAATAAGTATATAGTGAAAATGCATTATTTCTTTGAAAATCTTCTCTGCTCCTGGGTATTAAATAAATCAACTAAGTACATATTTATGATGAGCAAGAGTGCCTCTACCAAAATTGTGAATTTTATGGCCCCAGGGTCAGGGGCTCTGGTGTTAGGGCGGGGCTCTATTGATTATATAGTGAAAATACATGAATTCTTTGAAAATCTTCTTCTCTGCTTCTGGATATCAAATAGACTAACTAAGTGCATAGGTATGATGAGCAAGAATGCCTCTACCAAAATTTTGAATTTTATGGCCCCATGGTCAGGGGTTCTAGTGCTAGGGCAGGGCTAAATAAGTATATAGTGAAAATACATGAATTCTTTGAAAATCTTCTTCTCTGCTCCTGGGTATTGAATAAACTAACTAAGTACATAGTTATGATGAGCAAGAATGCCTCTACCAAGATTGTGAATTTTATGGCCCCAGCATCAGGGGTTCTGGTTTTAGGGCGGGGCTCTATTGATTATATAGTGAAAATACATGAATTCTTTGAAAATCGTCTTCTCTGCTCCTAGGTATTAAATAAACTAACAAAGTGCATAGTTATGATGAGCAAGAGTGCCTCTACCAAAATTGTGAATTTTGTGGCCCCAACGTCAGGGGTTCTGATGTTAAGGCGGGGCTCTTATTGATTATATAGTGAAAATACATGTACATGAATTCTTTGAAAATCTTCTCTGCTCCTGGGTATTAAATAGACTAACTAAGTGCATAGTTATGATGAGCAAGAGTGCCTCTACCAAAATTGTGAATTTTA